CTTCTTTGAATTTTGTCAAGTCTCTCCTTCATCTGTAAGGATATTGTTCAGCATTCACTGTTATGTAAGAGGATTGATATGACGTAACTTTTCAGTAATATTGTCTTTGTTTCTAATGAAAGTGTTATGGCCCGGTTCCTTGTACCACGGTGATAGTCCAAGGTAGAACCAATAAAGAAGAACTCGAACACGGATATGGAATAACGCAGATATATTACAAACAGGAATATATACAGAGAAGTAGAAGTGTTAGTACGAACAATCAGGTTTAGTAGTAATTGTCTGAACGCGACTCTGTTTCGGACTGCCTCTGACTCGACTGACTGACTCGCTCGCTCTGACTGACTGACAGACTCCTGACGGACTTCACTCCAGTCTTCAGACTGAACAGTATTTAGTCACCCCACCACGAGGGCATCATGTGGCACAAGGCCGTTTTAACGTGGGATCGGCTAAAAATATGCCCTTTGAACCCGTATAAACGGGTTCAGGGTCGGTTTACCTCCCCGAAAGAGACTCCGCCCTTCGGCGTAGCCTCGTTCGAGTTCCTCCCCGCCCGAAGGAAGAGAGTTCAACCGATCAGCTGGTCGCCCGACTTCAGGCTGAACTCCCGCTTCCTCTTGAGGCGCAGTATTTATTACGTATGGAATAGTCCATTATGTTATTAAGGGTAAGGTCCTCTAACAGAAATTTTTACCCATTTCGTAATGCTTCGCTTACCTTTTGGAAGGCTTCTTTCACTATCCCAATGCACCACTGAATTTTAGTGTTACACTTTCCATTCTCTGCTAAGTTTTGAAAATTGTAGTTAGCAGGGAAGCAAGAAATTGGGAGTTCCATGTGTAAGAAAAAATTAGAATAGAACGTATGATTGAATCTAGTTTAACAAAACTGTGAGAATACAATCTAACAGCTTGCTTAAATTCATGCAGTTAAGGCATCAAGGAGGAAAACTCATTAGAACATTTGCCATGGAAATATTTGTAGAAAAGGTAGGGAAGACATGAAAGTGACAGAAGTTGAGATGCCAGGACAGGATCGATTATTGAATTTTGTCAAGAACCTCAAGATATATAATAAGAACACCAGACCAGATATGCCAACAATATTCAATGCACGAACGAATGGTAGCAAGATGGATTCAGACAAGAAAAATTGCCTGACTGGACACCGTGAATAAACTTTTTTCAGCCAGATATTTATATTGTTGTACTTGTTTGATTTTGCTATCTCCAGTTTGTAGTTTGCATGTTGGTCTGTTTCTTTTTTGCTCACAACCCTACATTCTTTCTTCTTGTAATTGATATTTAGTCCTTTCTTCTTTCTTTCCTTCATTATCTTCTGTAAGAATTCTTGTGGTTTCTTTTCTTTTCTCTGCTATCAACACTGTATCATCTGCATATCTTATGTTGTTAAGTTTGTGGCCGCCAGTAATGAATTCTGCTAGGACTTCTGGTTCTCTTTGTTATGGTCCAAGGTTAGGACCATGGAAGAACAACACGAAACACCACAGTAGAAATAACAAAGAATATATTACACAAGAAATAATACAAGAAGTGAAAGGATTAGTAAGACTGTCCAACTGGTTTGGCGTGACTGCTATCATGACTCGATTCAATACCATCCCAATACCGTTCGTCTCTCTTGAGAGGCGTAGTATATATAGCGCTCAGCAGAGTTCATTCTGTCGGTCTGGGTAGGAACCATGACACTCTTAGAATCACTTCACTGTATAGGTTGGATAAGTCTGGTGAGAAGACACATCCTTGTCTTACACTCCTTTCTATATTTGTATATCTACTGAATTCATTTTCTATCCGTACGCAGGTGGTTTGTACCCATGTTAGGTTCTGGATTATTCTAATACCCTTCCCAAATATATCAAGGTTACCTAACAATTTCAACACTTCTCTGTGATGCACTTTAACAAAAGCGTTTGCCTAATCTACAAAACATAGGTATACATGCTTTTGCATTGTCCTTTCTGAAAACAAAAGAAATGACACAGGAAACAGAGTCTATATCCGAACAGTGTGCAAGGTAATGTGTAAATCCGTTTATCTGTTCTCGGAAACAAAAGTGTGTGGAACCCAGTTAAAAATTGTAGAAAATTCAATAGAATTAAGTAATATCATTAAAAAGCTCAATTAACAAATTTTTGTGAGAAAGATAGGCCCTGGATTTGAATCTATGCATTCGCATTTATTAACCAATCAGCGACGTTATTTCAACCGCGCCGAAGCCTTTGAAAAATCAAACAACCATGTTTTTTGTCTGCTACGACATTTGTAAGATAGCTCCAGATCAACAATATTTTCCTCCTAAAAAAAGAATATTTAATACTTGAAAAAATGTTTATTAACCAATAAACTTCTGGGTTTAGTAAGCTAATTTTTAGTTTCTTTGATTTAAAAAAAAAAAAAAATATTCGTGGTGTTAGGTTAGTATTCAGTTTTTTCGTAAACTTTTGATATGTTGTTTTCCTCTGTCCCTCTTTCTCTCCCGTGAGTATCAGATTTTCCAAGCCCTCCTTCCTCATTATGTTCCCTCAGAAACCTTATCTTTATCTTTCTGGGATGTAATGCGTTGTTTTCCTCTTTGTCCCTTCCCTCTATCTATCACGTGGGTATCAGATTTTCCAAGCCCTCATTCCTCTTTATATGCCACAGAAACCTCAACTGTCTCTTCTTAATGTTATGTATCGGCTTCCTTTTTGTTTCTATTTTCTCTAAAACTTGGTCGTTTCTCGCATATTCCGCCCATGGTATCCCCAGCATTCTTCTGTAGAACCACATTTCTCTGCGTTCAAGTCTCTTCATTGTAGATTGTCCAGCACTCAGTGCCATATAGGAGGACAGATATCACATAACAGTTTAATATTCTTTTCCTTGTTTTTAGAGAAGTTTTTATATTTCTTTTGACCGAAACTTTGGGTCATTCATAACATCTAGAATAATCAACCAAATTAAAACTGCTCATCTGAAAAATGAAATACAAAATACGGACCAGCTTTGTTAAACAAATGTCGAAATCATCAAACAAAAACAAAAACTATCAAACAAAAACAAAAAACATCAAACAATACAAAAATCTCATGAAAACGAATAGTAGATTACATATAAGATAATCGTTAAGTTTGACGATATTTTAATTGTATTTTATGATTAAAAGAAACGAAAATAATGGCATCCTTTCATTCTGAAGCACAATGAAGACTCTCATGAAAACGAACAGTGGATTACATATAAGATAATCGTTAAGTTTGACGATATTTTAATTGTATTTTATGATTAAAACAAACGAAAATAATGGCGTCCTTTCATTCTGAAGCACAATGAAGACTCTCATGAAAACGAACAGTGGATTACATATAAGATAATCGTTAAGTTTGACGATATTTTTATTGTATTTTATGATTAAAAGAAACGAAAATAATGGCGTCCTTTCATTCTGAAGCACAATGAAGACTCTCATGAAAACGAACAGTGGATTACATATAAGATAATCGTTAAGTTTGACGATATTTTTATTGTATTTTATGGTTAAAACAAACGAAAATAATGGCGTCCTTTCATTCTGAAGCACAATGAAGACTCTCATGAAAACGAACAGTGGATTACATATAAGATAATCGTTAAGTTTGACGATATTTTTATTGTATTTTATGGTTAAAACAAACGAAAATAATGGCGTCCTTTCATTCTGAAGCACAATGAAGACTCTCATGAAAACGAACAGTGGATTACATATAAGATAATCGTTAAGTTTGACGATATTTTTATTGTATTTTATGGTTAAAACAAACGAAAATAATGGCGTCCTTTCATTCTGAAGCACAATGAAGACTCTCATGAAAACGAACAGTGGATTACATATAAGATAATCGTTAAGTTTGACGATATTTTTATTGTATTTTATGATTAAAAAGAAACGAAAATAATGGCGTCCTTTCATTCTGAAGCACAATGAAGACTCTCATGAAAACGAACAGTGGATTACATATAAGATAATCGTTAAGTTTGACGATATTTTTATTGTATTTTATGGTTAAAACAAACGAAAATAATGGCGTCCTTTCATACTGAAGCACAATGAAGACTCTCATGAAAACGAACAGTGGATTACATATAAGATAATCGTTAAGTTTGACGATATTTTAATTGTATTTTATGGTTAAAACAAACGAAAATAATGGCGTCCTTTTATCATGTGGCGACAAAGGAGAAAACCATGTTTTTACCTCGAAAAAAATGTTGCATCTTTTGTGTTTCATTGTGTTTTTTTTTTAAACGAAAATCAAAATCATGTTCGAATTTACTTGTGTGAGGCCTCGAAAGATGGATATTTTCACACTTTTTGTTCTTACTCCAACAAAAGAAAACTAGTTTAGGTGACAGCAGAGGATTCTTTGTTCTTTGTGGGAGAAAAAGATAGTTGTGTGTTGCGAGTTGAGGATACGGATTTTTTTTTTTTTACCTCTTTTGATTTACGGCCCCATCCTGCATTTTTTTCTTTTTTGGCTTGCGAAACTGATTTAATACCTTTGAAATAGTGGATATTTATAAGGTTGTGGGCTTTGTGTGTATTTTTTAAGTGAAGGTGCGTGTTCATATAAGCAAAGAAATTAGAAGTATAATACCCCCCCCCCAAAAAAAAATTGACTTTCTGCTACGGGCATTTATTACTTTAAAGATGACTGTACTGAAACAAAGATAAATGTCTCTTCTTTTCTTTTTTGGTTCAGAAAATTGTTTATGGGAAGTAACGATAAGAACAGGTAAAGATGGTCTATTTTATATGCATTAACACAGGCTCTGATTTGGGACCAGAGAAAATCTCTCTTATATCCGGGTCTCTTATATCCGGGTCTCTTACATCCGGGTTACACTGTATATTAAATTATATTATGTTTAAACAATTTTTACGTTTTTTTCTGTTAAACTTAAAATCCGCTAATATTTGGAGCTTCGATAAAACGCGTCGTCTCTCCTTGAGTTTAGAACGCCAGTTTCAACTACATCTATCTATCTATCTATCTATCTATCTATCTATCTATCTATCTATCTATCTCAGTGTGTTCATATCTATCTATCTATCTATCTATCTATCTATCTATCTATCTATCTATCTATCTATGTTTTACATACGTGGCATACTTAACTTAATGAATATTCATTAACATTACATAATTTATTTCTTTTTCCTTAAAATCAATTCCATTATATTTCACTCACCATTAGCTTATTTTGTTTACCATAAAACATTGAAAATAAATGTTAAACCTGATTTCAGTTCTTTTATTTCAATCTAAATATAACCTCTCATATCCAAACTTTGTAACCAGTTCCTCATATCCGGAATCCTTCATATCCAAAATCCCTTATATCCGGAGTTTGTAACCAATTCCTCATATCCGGAATCCTTCATATCCGAAATCTTTCATATCCGGAATCCCTGATATCTGGACTTTGTAACCAGTTCCTCATATTCGGAATCCCTGATATCCGGACGTTGTAACCAGTTCCTCATATCCGGAAGACCTTCTTAGTTCGGCTGTCAGATATACTGTATTGCAAACTTCACTATTTCTAATATCACGATTTAATGTTTTAAAAAATAACTTGAGTCTGTCGGAATAAATTGATAGAAAAATTAACCCGTTCTCCCGCTGCACGTGCTATGAAATAATCAATTGTAGTTTTTTATTCAAGAACAGAAACGACACGTCGGGGTGAGGGTGGGGGTTTCGGCTGACGATGGTATCAATATGAAAAGGAAACCATTCATGAACAGTGTAATTAAAATTGATAATTAATCAATCAATGCAATAAAAAAAAGCATCCACACTATCTCTCAAATACTGATATTGCTTTTTTTTTCGTTAACCATTTTTTTTAGCTATATGATACTAGTAGATAGAGTAGCCGACCGGAGGTTAGAATGCCTGCTGGTTAGTAAAGTGCACAGGACAGACTGCGATCTTCACAATTCATTAGTCGAAAATAATTCATAACCCGTAAGGATGCGAAGACGCTCTTTGGGTCTATCGAGATTGGAAAGTGAAAACTGGGCATCTCCTGCCCCTATATGGCAGCAACGGAATCCACCGCCCCCCCGGAACTCCCCCCCCCTGCTGTTTTCTTGCTTCTGAAACTCTCTTCCAGTTTCTTGTTTTCCAGTCAAATTTGATCTTCAAAAATATACATAGAGAGAAGCCCACGGAGATAGATAGATAGATAAAAACAGATTGAGATAGATAGATAGATAAATATGAACACGCTGAGATAGATAGATAGATAGATAGATAGATAGATATGAACAAAATGAAATAGATATGAATAATATATATATATATATATATATATATATATATATATATATATATATATATATATATATATATATATAAAAAAACAGACTGAGATAGATATGAACACACAGATATATATATATATATATTATTATTATTATTATTATTATTATTATTAATAGAAATCTTATAAGTATAAGAAACTATACTCATTCGGAAAACCTTCGGTGCGTTGATTTGCAAATGATCAAACAAATACCAAAGGGAAAAAAAGGTATATAAAAAAGAAAGAACCAAGAACATGTACGTTAGCCGAAAATAATCGTCTAGCATGCAAGTCCAAAGTCCAAAGAAAAAAAAACCCCGATACGTGTACTCAAAACAACTAAATAAAGTGCTCAATACAATGAGTAGAGAAGACCTAGTTATTAGACAGATAGATAAAAACAGACTGAGATAGATATGAACACACAGATATATATATATATAATGAACAAATTGAGATAGACATGAATAAAATGACATATATTAATTATTAGGAGGATTTGATAATAACATTTAATTAATTCATCGAGTCTGATAGAAATCTCTACAGAATGCAGAAAGCACTGGACGGTCGTTTCGTCCTATATTAGGGACTCATCAGCAGTGCGCATCCACTACCGAGAATTGAAACCCTGACAGTTAGGTTATCAAGCAAACATCATACCAACTGTTCCACTGGGACGTGGTGACGAAGGGATTGCAAATCTGACTCAATATAGCGCCGCTCGCTCACATATTCCGTGGCGGAACCATGCTGCGTTCTCTTTAACCATAGGACTGTGCCCCCTGGAGCCACGACTACTCTCACCAAGCCGCTCACACTGCTTGACCACCTAACTGTCAGGGTGGCCTGACGATTACGTCTAGCATGAAACAGCCTGTCGCCTCTAAGTGTTGACTTCAATGTTCACTTTTATATTTACACACGCTCTATCTTTGATATTGAGCCCTTTATCCCATAAATATAGCACACCTTAAGACTATATTTCTTCATATAAATATATATATATTTATATATATATATATATAAGAAAATATAGTCTTCATATATATATATATATATATATATATATATATATATATATATATATATTGAACTATGGCAAGTTTTTCTTTAGTAATCAACCCCAGACTAAATCAAGGAAGCGTTTAAACCTCAAGCGTGCAGTTTCGAACGGAGAAATAATTTATTCAGCAACCCATCAATTTGCATGTGATCAATGTGAATATTGACTTCACAGCTTCAACAATATCACGTCTCAAGTCTTCAAGAGTAGCAGGCATAGGTGAAACAACTCCTCTTTCTTTATATACATTCAACGATAAAAATCTCATTGTGTAAGATCTGGTGACCTTGGTGGCCACAGATGATGTTATCGTTTGTGAAAAAGACGACCGTCTTTTTCTCAAATAATAACAATTTAAATTCATACAAAATCTGAAAAAAGAAGAAGAAAAAGAATCATTTAAACAAGACTGAAAAAAAAATCATTTATTTTAATAAATTTGAACTATTTTCTATCTCTTAGCGTTTTAATAATCCTGTATATACACTGTAGTTCAAAAGTTTGAAGCGATCCCACCAGAATTATATATATATATATATCATTGCGATTTCCATGATAAGCCATTTTTTTAAGTGAATAGGTTGTTAGCCTACTGCACAACCCCCAAACTTGAGGATCATGTTTTGGGGATTCAGAGTTGTCCAACTTCTAGACCAGTTGCCATCCAAGGCTATAGAACCCAGTCTGTTCTGTTATCTACCCATAGCTGGTGGCGAAGAAGAGGATTCATAGCTTTCCCAAGGGTATTAGCACGTAAGTGAATGTAATGTATTCAACTGGAATTCGAACTCGGCTCTCCGTTTCTTCAATTCACTGTATCGTCTCCTTACAGAATTAGCATGGTATAAACTTGACTGAAGAGTGAAAAAAATGAAAAAGAGCTCTTAGAGTTATTGAAAAGAGAATGGAATCAATTATCAAACTTATACTTTGAAAAACTTTTGCAATGAATGCCAAAAATGTGTGCTGCAGTAATCATGATTGAAGGAGGATATTTTGACGAGGGCAAGATTTAATCATAAAATCCTTTTTTTTTCTTTTTGTTATAATAAACTTTTTAATAATAAAACATGTTTTCTCTTTGCCATGTATAATAATTTTCTCTTATTTAAAGTACAAAACCACGACATCTTGGGCCAATTTAAAAAAATTACCAGGGATGACCACAAACTTTTTGAACTGTAGTGTATATATATATATATATATATATATATAGTGCACCAACCTTGTCCTACACCGAAGCAACTCTGTGGTTTGAAACAAAAACCACCAGCCTACAAATTTCCAGAGAGACCATTGAAAGTAAAAGACAAATCCCTGAATTATGTAAAGTCTTTCACTTATCTTGGTAGCAAAGTCAACTACAGTGGATCTTTAGATGATGAAATCATGCATCAGATTGCTAAGGCTACCAGTGCTTTTTGTAAACTTTGCCATCGCTTGTGGAATGAGCGGGGTATTCAACTGAATACAAAAATTCGGGTTTACAGAGCTGTTGTCATCATTTTGTGATCATTTTGTACGGCTCAGAGTCGTGGACTCCACACAGGTACCATATACGCCAGCTGTTTGCGTGCCATCTGTGAAGTTAGCCTTCAATACAGGACATCCGATGCAGAGCATTAACAGGTGTAATATTGGAGGAATCGAGACTTTCGTCATATAGTCTCAGTTGCGGTGGACTGGTCATGTCTTGAGAATGTCTGATGACGATAGCCAAGATCCTAATGTACAGCCAATTAGATCAAGGCTATAGGAATGTAGAGCGCCCATGGCTTAGATACAAAGACAAGCTGAAGAGCAACTTGTCAGCTGTCAATATACCTCATAACACACTCGAGCGCTTAGCCTTGGAGCGGTTAGAGTGGAGATCAACGTATTTTAGTGGACTCAGCAGTTTTCAATTTTCTAGTCTGAATCGTCTTCAAGATCTAAAAGGTCAGCCAATCTAACAGTGACCTCCTTCCACAATCCTTACTCTTGCTCCATATGCGGCCTTCTTTGCAAAACATGCCACTTAACATTATCGCACAAAATTCATAACTAAAACAATTGGTTAAATTGTCAGATCCTCATACATCGAAATCGACGGGAGAGTTCATTATATATAAATGAATATTTGGTTTTCAGCTGTAGGGGTGTCAAAAATTATATTATAATTATTACAAGCATTCTTATCGTTGTCCTGGTGATTGTGGAATCACAAAACTCCGAGTCGATCTCCGAGAAGTACTGTGAACTTTAATTGCTTCTGATACAATAATTATTGTGCGAGACAATTAGAGAGCACGTTATTTGCAAAAAATCCTCTCCTCCTTGTTATACGTTGAATTATCTTCGCTGTCTGAGACGCATTCCGAGCATCAGTTGCTCCGACCCATGTCACCCGTACCCAGTTACCCTACCTATATGCTGTTCTCCAACAGTAGCGGCTTCGCTGGCTTGGACATGTACACATACGCCAGATGGAGGGGATTCCGAAGGTCCTTCTATACAAAGACTTGGTCACCAGCAAGAGGGCAGGAAGACTACCTCATTTTCGTTTCAAGGACGTCTACAAAAAGGACATTAGGGCGATCAACATCTACAAATATTGTAGTGTTCACCTGTTTGTACTAATAGTTTTAATACTTATTTCTTAAAAACCTTGACAATACCATAGCTTAGTTACTCCCTCTACGATTTATTCCAAGCTAAATCGTACAGTATATCGCATCAGCTTTTTTAATTTACTTGTA